ATCAAAGCCAGGAGGCGGGTCTTCCCGCTGTTAATCACTCTCTGTGTGGCCAGGCTAGTTGGCTACCAATGACTGTAGATGAACAATTTTCATATGATAGTAAGTTATACCAGGATTTGGTGTTTTTGTAAAGTCAGATTCTATTTCTAAACAGTTCCAGTTATTTCTGGACCAAATCCTTCCTTGATCACACCAAGTGACTCCAAGAGAAAAGTTTCACCAAAAGGAAATGATCAAGGCCAGTGGTGTGAAAACTTTTTTGCACAAAACTGGCAAATTTAAACTACTGAAAGGTCACAAAATTTCATAAATAAAAAAATGCAACAATCTTCTTTACTTTTTGTTTATTTTCTCTTTAAGTTTTACTTGCTCAACAATAAACAAAATGTTGATGAAGTCTGTGAAGATCCAAAACGTAAAAAGGGCTTTGGATTATTCCCTTATTGGAAAGAAAAGCAGACCATTTCCAATTTTGGGGGGTCATCAGTTATCTTCTGCTTTGTTGGCCAAATTTTTTACCATTCTTGACTTGTGGCAAGGGCAGTTTTTTACCTAAAGAAATCACTACCTCTTTTGTTTGTTTGGTTGGGTTTTTTTTTTTTTTGCCAAAAAAACAAAAAAAAACTGAGGCAAAATAATCGCTTAGGCCATTATTTTTTGTAAAGACCTCGTGTAATTTTGATAATAAAATCGCAGGGCGTTTTATAAAACTTATATCTTTGATGTGAAGATAAAGAAGATATACAAAACACCGATGCATTACATTTTTTTAATCTCACGTGAAAATGAAGCCAAGCCATTTTTAAAATTTTCTGTCTTGATTATCGATTTTTTAAAAAAAAAAAACAATTTAAGTAATACGTCGTGATTTGCTTCTGTGCTGCATTACCTGATCTTACCACCAGAGGTCAGAGTGAGTTTTATCATATGACGGAGTACAATGCGGAAAACATGGAGTGGGACGTTGCTGATGTGTACTTAAGTAACACAGCCCCTGGGAAACAAAAAAAAAAAAACTAAAAACAGAGCAAACAAGACTAATGAGGTATAAACTAAACACACACACACACACATTGGTTCAGTGCGTTCTTACTGCAAAACGTCAGACAAGCTGTTTGCTCCTGCACTGAGTCATCGACTTACTTTAAGTCTTTCGGCATAGATGTGTGTTTGCAGCTACTGAGGAAGTAAATTTTGTCGATGTAGCGCATCTTTAAATATTAAAAACCTCTACATAAAGTATAAATATGTATTTATGACTGGAATTATAGCACAGAACGTCAAATGAAAGAATAAATAACCGATAGATGGGTTAATCAAAAATATCTAGGCCATTTAAAGTCATTTTTCTCCAAAGATTTAATGGTGTCACATCTAAATAAAAACACCACAAAGAAAAACATACTTGCCCTATAACAGAATTATCTGTTTTTGCTATTTTGACACATTTTATTATTTTTTTGTTAATCCTTTATTTATACAGGAAACTCTCTTGAGACGCTTTGTCTCATTTAAAGAGACCTGCTCAACAAAAAATAACATAAAATAAACGCTTGAGATCATTGAATTTCATGATTTGAAGCGTTGAGCAGGTCACACGATTATACTTTATTGAACAAAGATTGTCTTCCTTTTGAAAATATCTGAGAACATATTTCAGTTTTTGCAAGTAAAATCTGCAATACAAAAACCACAGTTACAAATTAATAATTTATATGTTACTTTAGATTCTCTCCCCCTTAGTTGAGCTGTATGTGTAACATTACAAACCCTTCCATTCTTTGTAAAGAAACTTGAAAAATCAGTTTTGAATGCATTTTCTCCCCACCGAACAGTCATTCATTTGGCTCAGACACCGAGAAAAAAAAAAAAAAAAACAAGTCGCTGCTGCGGTTCGGGGAACAGTTTTCTATTTCTGTGGGAAACAGTATTTCTGACGGAGAATTTTGATTGGCAACAAAAAATCTTTTCACAAACCTCATCCTCTATTTCCTGCTCACTTCCTGCCTGTGGAGAATCCAACTGTAATTTAGCTTTTCTTCATACGTTCAACACTTTTTCACTTTCTGGCTTCAAAATAAAATGAGAGAAAAGAACTGCTCATTAAACGTACGTGCAGTAGTTTGTAGATTTAAGCTAGGTGTCACCAGCTTAATTTAGTCAATTATATATTAGGCAACACCTACAAAATGTCTTCTACACATATTTGAAAATGTTTGAGGATACGGTGGAGCTGGATGAGAGACGGAGGGCATGATCTTCCTGCTCACATCCTGCTGCTTTCGGGACCAGGTAGGCTGTTTGTTTTTTTGGTTTTTTTTTCTTCTTTATTATAATTTTTTCTGCATAGTTTGAAGCCTTTAGTTTCCCACTGATGCAAGAAGTAAGACCGAGGTCGGGACTGCAGGGTATGAGCTCATGTCCCGGACCAAGCCGAGCAGCTGCTAGCCTCCCAACATCAAAGGGATTACAGTCTGATTACGCAAGAGGATATGAAAGCAGCGTGATGTTTGTGTTCAGCAGCAGCGGTTCGTTCTGCAGCAAATACCGTTACAGGACAAACTGCTGCGTCTCCCCACCTGACCCCCACCAGGGAGAGTCAGAGCACCAGACAGAAAGAGTTTGTTTGTATTTCTACTATATTCTATACTTCCACGGTGACAATCTTCATATTTAGCTTTTTTTTTTTTTTTTCCTCACTTGACATACAAAATGTATCAAAATCCACATATTTAAAATCAAGAGGATGGATGAAAGTTTTCAGAGTAATGGGTTTACAACTTTTCAGTCCAAAGACATTTTTTTGTCCTCAGTTCATCTGAGTGAACTTCAAATCGTGACTCATCTGACCACAGAACAGTCCTCCATTTTGCCTCACTCCATTTTAAATGACTCCTGGCCCAGTGCAAACGGCTGAGCTTATGGAGCTTAGAAATGGCTTCCTCTTTATACGGTAGAGTTTCAGCTGGCAGTGGTGGATTGTGTTCACTGACGATGCTTTCTGGAAGTATTCCTGAGCCCATGCTGTTATTTCCTTGACAGTGGCATTCCTGTTTGACATTCAGTGACGGTTAAGGGCCCGGAGATCACGAGCCTCCAGTAGAGTTTTACGCCCTTGACCCTTACACACAGCGATTGTGCCAAATTCTCCAAATCTTTTGATGATGTTATGCACAGTTGATGATGATAACTTAAAAGTCTTTGCTATTTTACGCTGGGTAACACCATTCTGGTATTGCTGCACTATCTTTCTGCGCAACAATGGTGGAATTGGTGATCCTCTTACCATCTTGGCTTCAGAGAGACACTGACACTCTAAGAAGCTCTTTTTATACCCAATCATGTTGTCAGTTGACCTAATTAGTGTTAATTGGTCTTCCAGCTGTTTGTTATATGTTCAGTTTCCTTTTTCCAGCCACTTATTGCTACTTGTCCCAACTTTTTTGGGATTTGTAGACACTGTGAAATTTTGAATCAACATATTTAAAATGTTACATTTACTCAGATTAAACTTTTGATCTGCCACCTATATTCTATTACGAATAAAATATTGACATTTGCCATCTCCACATTATTGCATTCAGTTTTTATTCACAATTTGTTTAGTGTCCCAACTTTTTTGGAATCCAGTTTGTATTATTATTATAAAATACAAGTTAAACTTGGCTACTGTTTAAAGTTATCACGCTGCTTTGCTAATCATGGTAGCATAGCTAGCAAGAAACAGAAAAGTTTTTGATAAGAAAAACACAGAAGGAAGCGTTCAGTAGCCTTGGTGTGGGGGGAAACTAATGGACAAAATGTGCAAGTACTCATGAAAAATTAAAATCGGAAGGTACGACGCAGCATTTATGATAAACGAATGTAATAATTAATGAATAATGCATAAAAGAAAGAAACTCTAAACGTTGAAGCTTCTTTACATATTTTGTCTGTGAGCTTAGTCTTGAAACTAATCCTGTCTAGGAATAAAGTGTAGAAACAGAAATATTATCCCCTATTTTATCTTCTTATCCCCTTCTTACCCAGATCTTAAAACAATCTATGTAAAATTCCAGACTTTTCCAGACAGTAAAGGAAACCTGGAAGTCAGCAGGCTCCGTTCTCCTGCTAGGTATCCCGCGGCTCAGGGAGCGTTCGCAGAAGTGACAGAATCACAAAGACAGCGAGGCTTTGTGTGGACGAGAGGGGCCTGACGGTGCGAGCAGAGAGTTTTGTCTGCTGGTCAGGGTTTACACAGCGAGCAAGCAGCAGAACAAACCACTGCCATCAGCACCGAGACGGCCCGGCCCTCTGACTGCCGGCCAAACGGCTCCACAGCCACATTTAATCCCGCTAAAACACAGCTTGCTTACTGGGGCTGTTTTCCCCCTGGCTCAGTCTGGGCAACTTACTGACGCAGCAGCTCAGAGGAGGGGTCCGGATTTAAAATCGGAGATTTTATAACAAAAATGATTTCTTTTCTCCTTTGTTTTCACTGTTTTTTTTTCCTTCTTACAAAAATTCTGGATTTTTTTTTTCACTATAAAAAATGCAAAGGTGTACAGAAGCCATGAGTGGACGGCTATAATCTGATTTTTAGTCAATTCTTCATCAGTGACAGATGGAACCAAAGTTAAAAAGCCATTGGTGTAAAAACTCAATACACCCTGTGATTTCACACCTTTACCCTTAATAGCAGTAACATCATAGACAGACAGAAAGATAGCTGGTTAGCTAGTCAGCTTCCTAGCTAGCTAGAGTCAGACAGATAGATAGCTGGTTAGCTAGTCAACTTCCTAGCTAGCTAGAGTCAGACAGATAGATAGCTGGTTAGCTAGTCTGCTTCTTAGCTAGGTAGAGAGAGATAGATAGCTAGTTAGTTAGCTAGTCGGCTTCCTAGCTAGCTAGGGTCAGACAGATAGCTAGTTAGCTAGTCGGCTTCTATGCTAGCTAGAATAAGACAGATAGCTGGTTAGCTCGTTGGCTTCCTAGCTAGCTAGAGTAAGACAGATAGCTGGTTAGCTAGTCGGCTTCCTAGCTGGCGAGAATAATACAGATTGCTGGTTAGCTAGTCGGCTTCCTAGCTAGCTAGAGTAAGATAGATAGCTGGTTAGCTAGTCGGCTTCTTAGCTACATAGAGTGAGACAGATAGATAGCTGGTTAGCTAGTCAGCATCCTATCTAGCTGAATAGCCAGCCAGACAGCTAGCTCTCTGTTCCTTCTACTTCCTATAGTATACGTTATCTTATTATCCATAATATATTTTTATCAGAAAAGCAAACACCGCCACAAAAAAACAAATCAAAACTCATCTTGCTTTTTGCTCACACCTCAACAACAACAGTTTTTCCTGCCTCTTCCCCTCAGATGGGTCGGCGTGGGCTGGTTCCACATTCTTGGAAGCTCCCTTGAAGATCTCCTTCTGCGTCTGGCGCTGATGAGGTCATCGCTGCGTGGGCGGCCTGAACCATATGCTGCCTCAAAACTGTGTGAAAGTCCTAATCTCCAGCAAGGCGTTGAGCGATGCATTCGCCAAAAGAACCACCCGTCTGTCTGTGGCTGATGAGAGAATAACATCACAACATGATGTAAAGCTCAAAACAAAAACAAAAAACCAGTATGATTTTACATAGTGCTGCCCCTTTAACTAGAAATTCACCAGACGTACAAGTTTCATTTGGAAAAAAAATGTTTCTTTTGTCCGATTTTGTCATTTTGTAAACATGTTATGTACATGAATTATTTACATGTGGTTTCCACATAACTTTATACTTTGGTCCAACTGAAGATGTAATTTTAAAACATTAAATGACTGATGTTTTGAGTCATTTGTTGACTCTGTTTTACTTTTTCTTGAGTAAACATGAAGCAGTGCTACTCTTACATGAGTACAGGTTTTGTACTTGTGACCAGTTAGCTTGGTCACCTGTTCTCTTTTTTCAGTGCATCCATCAGATAAAAACTTTGCTTAAAAAAAATCCCCATAAAGTTTCATGTTGCAACAAAATGTGAACATGTAAAGGAGGTGTTGATCATTTTTGCAAATATCGATTCTTTAGTTTTCGTTTTTGTTTTTGACAAATGAAGGAGCTGGTGACCTTTGCTGCCCTGCCATGGCAACACGCCGCTGTCTGTGGTGCTGAATTTGAGATCAGACCGTTTCATCCATATTTTTCTTTTTTTCCCCCTTTTTTTTCATCTCTCTCTGTTGATTTTACAAAAACCAATCAGCAGATTCAGCATCCCTGACCTCTGACCTGACATCTGCATGCCCCCGCAGCGTTGTGACAGTTGCGTTGGGATCTGGGCTGGGTGTTCACCACATTCACAGAAGTAGAACCCCCCCCCCCCCCCCCCCCCCCCACCACACCCCAACCCCCT